AGCAGCACCTTCGGGCTGTTCACAAAGCACAGGAGACCTCTTTCAGTAGTGCACTTAACATATTTAAAGTGGGCATTTGCTTTGTGTTCTTGGGCGCGAGGATGTGTGTGTGTGGTTTTGTGGCTGTACTAAGCTTCCTGATTTTAAAGGTTTGTTAACATGAGCCTTTCTCATAAGATCTCTCTAGAAAGTCTTGTGCTATTTTCTTTTCAGCTTTTGTGCTTTGGGACAAAAGGGGAAGATAAGAGACTCAAAACCAGACATAGTTCAGAAGGATTTAGTTCAGAAGACTTGTACATAAAGGCTTGATGTAGTGCATGCAGGTTTGGCAGACAGGAATGATCATTGTTGGCTATTAGGAAGACAGCAGACAAACATGGATCAATCTTTGTGAAGTATTATTGTAAAATCAGGACCCCTGATGAAGGAAGTGATTGGCATGTGACTCCATGGAATGCTGAATTCTCACTTTATTAAAAGTACATTATATTACATTATACTATAACTATACTACATCATACTTACTTCTCACTAATTACTGAAAAACTCACGACTGTCAGCCGACAGTCCTGACACCCACACGTGGATCCAACTGGTCAATGAATCAAAACACATCACCAGAATCCAATCAAGTGAACACCTTGGATAAACAATCTTCCAAGACATTCCACCTGTTCAAAAACACAGGAGCAGCAAATGGAATAAGAATTGTTTTGATCATTCTTTTCTCTGCTTCTCTCCGTTCAGACAGCATGTGAATATCACAAAGTAGTTCATGGTATCTGACAGTATCAAGAGTATTTTGGTAATATTGCAGAAAATGTTTCCATTTAAAATAAATTAAGCTCCTTCCATTCAGATCAATCACCAACACAAGCTAGAAAGACTCGATAAAGTAACTGGAATGAAAGACACTCCTCCTTCCTCTCAATATCTATTTCACCAGCTTAGTCTCCTGAGCAGGGTAACCTTGAATAAAGAAGTAAAATGTAAATGACTTGCTGACATCAATCTATTCTACTATTTCAGGCTGAATCATAAAATGTGATGGCTTCAAATAAATAAAATAATTCTACAGCTACGAAATGTAACAATTAATAAAAACACCTGAGAAATTTTTGAGGTATGTATACAGGCTCTACTTCGCTATCTGAAATTCACATTTTGGATCACAGGGAAACACTCACCTGCCTTTCCAACACTGCTTCTACTCCCTCACTCTCAAATGTACTCAAGCAGATAACCTACAGCACACTCTGCTGGAATTTCTAGGCTGGTACTTAACTGAGAATTTTTTCACTCATGCTTTTCCAAGTAATTTACTTTTATACCTATACAAATGATAATTACAATTAAAAGCATAATATTATTACATTGTGCCCTAGAGATGCATTACAAAAGGTACCTGCACTTCAAATTATGAGCACACTATTTTAATTAGAAGTAAGCACCAGTGTGGGACAATAGGGAAGGAAATTTCAGGGAAGAAGTCAATACCTACTGTCTTAAGGACAGGGCACAGACTAGGCTGTTACATCTAGACTGCTGTCCCAAATTATTACAGAAGACTACAGACTACACTTCAATGATAACTTTCAAGAAAAATTTAAATAAATGCTATGTCAAATATGAGAGGAAAAGCCAACTTGCAAGAGAAAAGTGGAGATGCAGTATTCATTTAATTATTTTTTATCATGATTATCTGCACTGAAGGGAAGAGTGGAAAGAAGAAAGTTCCTAAATTTTGCTGTTGCCCACCCCATTATTTTATTATTATTATTATTGTCTCAAAGACATACCATGGCACTCTACAAGACTAGGTGAGCAATTAAATCAATACATCTCCAGAAAATAACTATGCATTTAGAGTTACACAGAAAAAATTGTTAATTATAGAGCAAAATATGTGTATCTCAGTCCTCTACTGAAGTCTTTGAGGAGAGAAACACATCTCCAAGATATAACTACAATTAGGTTAGGAAAATTTGCCACTTTCTACTAAACTCCACAACAGAGAAATTCTGACTGGAAATTGTGTATCACTGACTGGTCCTGTGAATACTGTTAGAAGGCAGAGAAAGCTGTTCACCATTTTGCAAGTGGGCACAACCCATTTGTCATGTAGGAGTTTTGTTTGCTTGGTTTCTTTTTAAAAACTAAAAATAACATCTTTTTGCAAACAGATGGTAGCAACTAGTTTGACACAAACATTAAATGTAAAATTTCCCTGTTTTGCCTACTCCCTGTGTAATTTTATTGGGGCAAATGTTCCAGATCTTGCCGAGGCTATGTCCATAGATCCCAGAGCAGACAGGCAAAGTCCAAATTAACTTCCTTTTAAACATGGTGATTAGTTCTTGGTCTCAACTTTTTTTAAATTGGGATACCAAAAAAGATATCAAGAATCAAATTTTGCTACCTAGAACTGGAAAGCCTGTGAAGAGCAAGCGTATACACTAAAAAAGAAGAGATGTATAGATCACAGCAAGAACGTGAGGTCCTCATTTCTCCAGATGATACTCTAATCTGTTAGAAGGAAGGTCAGTTTAGGATTATTGTGGTATGTACTTTCCTTTAGCTGGGGGCCTCCTGCTCCCCCAAATGCTGTTTTTCCTTTTAAGTGCAGGAAGGACTATTCATTCCAGTTGTGGAGCAGCATGCAGTCAGTCTAATTTACTGCATTTGGGCTGAAAAGGATCAAATTAACATTTAAGGTCAAAAACCCTGTAGCTGTTAAGCTAATTATAGCAGGGGTGTGTGTGGGAGGAGAGATGAGAGTTGCTGGACTTGAACAGGAGATGTAGCAGACCTGCATGAGTGGAAATGACAAGGGTTGGCTGCAATGCAAATGCTGGCATGGCAACTTGAGTTGGAGCTGTCTTCTAGACCAAAAAGACAGGAAACGTGAGCTGCTGGAACATCTTCCCAGCTCTCAGCAGCATGAGCAAAAAGAGCACATCCTATTGCCAGTTTTTCTCCCTTTTTCTCTGAGCACTTGTTTTTGGGGCATGTGCTTTCCAGTACCTATTTTTTGGGGGGTGTGTGTGTGTGCTTTCCATCATCTATGAAAGCATTCATCAGTGTGCTTTGAGAGGCAGCTCCCCAGTCCTTCCTCTTATTTAATTTCATGCCCTAAATAACTAAGCATTCTTACCGCTCACCAATATCTCAATCTTTATAATCTTCAATTTCCATCTTCATGTTGTGTGGAAAATCACACTATGAAAAGCCACTGTTCACAAAAGAGACACCAAAGTCCAGCACCTTTGCTCGCATAAAGGGAGAGAAAGTTACATTGGGGTGTAACTTCATGGGGTTTTTCTCTCAAGGTTTCAGAGGCTGCAGCCTCCTTTTACCCTAAATTCCCAGTGCATATTGCCCCATTGGCTGAGGTACTGGGAAGGTACAGCCTTCCCAAACAGCCTAGCATGTATTTATAGTATTTGCAGGAGCCCCCAGTGAGGGGAGAGAATGATGCATCTGACTCCATCTGATCAGAAGGCTAATTAATTATCATATTATATTACATTACATTACATCTAAACTGAATCTGCCAAGCACTCAACTCTGCACTCCACTGCACAGAATCTCGTGACTGTCAGCCGACAGTCCCAACACACACACACGCTTGGCCGTGATAGGCCAAGGATGCAAAACACCATCACTTTGGCTAAACAATCTCCATATTGCACTCTACTTTTGCACAAACACAGGCACAGCAAATGATAAGAATTGTTTTTCCTTTCTCTGAGGTTCAGAGAATGCGAAACCCAGAAATATTCTTGGGAAGAATTGTGCCTTGATTTTCTCTGTGAAGAGAAATGTGGCGACACCTATTCCCCCCACAAACCTCTCCATTTCCTCCAAAGTTTCGAAGTCCAGGTTATCTGGGTTCTGCAACAGACTGGGGACACATTTCTCCAATTACCCTAAAGTTCAGGAGCTCCAGCACAGCTTCCCTTGCCTCAAGCAGCAGTGCCTGGGCAGTGGCCCTGCCCCGCTACAGCCCCGAGACCTCTGCGGGGTCCCTGGCTGAGGTGATGGCTGTGTTCTCTTCCTAATGGCTGATGCTGTCCCATGGTTTGTGGTGGGGTTTGCTCAGATGCTCTGAGGCCTTTTTGGGCTCTCAGAGTGTATGTGTATGGGGGGGAGTTGTGTGTTGATTTGGGTTTGCCAGCACGTAGGATTGACACTGGGATGCCCGAGATGGAAGGCTCATTTGGTTGTTCGCTCATTTATTGATGCATGGCTGAGTGAATTTTGGGGTTTTGTGGCAACTGCTATCCACTGTGCTTTGATTTCTGCGTGTGTAGCTGAAATTGCATCTGTGGGTGTGAAGCCCTCTTGTTTCAGTCTTAGTGATTGCAGGATCTGGTACGGGTTTAGAATTTTCATTGCAGGCTCCAGACAGAGTAATACCAAGAAGTTCACCTCTAGATTGTATTTTACAAGGCTGGAAGAGGTTTGAAGGGAAACATTTAACAGCTGATGTTGTCTCATGGTAGCCTTGTATACACTGCATGTGCTCTCTATGCACTGTGTGTGTGCTGTGTGTCTGAGTGGAAGAGGAAAAAGAGAAGAAGGAAAAATAATAGAAACAGAAAATGGACTTTTAACAGACACTGGAGCTACTTATTCAGTGCTAAATACCAACCAGGGAAAATTTAGCCAAGAAACTGTAAATGGTTTTGGAGCAACTGGTAAATTGGAAAAACAAATATTCTTTAACCCAATTAACTTTGAATTTGGCAAACAGTGGATAATACACCAGTTTTTATATATGCCTGAGTGTCTGGTTCTTCTATTAGGAAGAGACCTGAATATTTGTGGAGGGATAGAATGTAAGAAAATAAAGATAGTGCAGAAGGTAGTATCACACCTGAGGAGTTGCAGCTGTACTAATCACCAAAGATTAGGAACAGGCCTGCCCTTAATAGGCCACAGCTGTGTCCAATGAGGAGGAATGCTACAAAAGAGTGGGTTAGCTGGGTGAGGGGGCATCTGGAGTTTGTTGGCTGTGCTGTGAAGAAGAAGGAGTTAGTGCTATGAGGAGCTGCCTATGAGCAATCACTGAGAAGGTATGAGAACTTTGCAATTAGATGACAATGTATATTGGTGGCTCAGATTGAATTTAAAGATGGAAAAATACAGTTATTGGTACCCAAGACTAAAGCCATTGAGGCAAGGAATTTTATGTTGTAGAGAACACTGGAACCGGGCAATTGTGGAGGAATATCAGAAGACACAGAAAATGCAGTAGCACCCTTGCTTTGGGCTGGCAGAGGTCCCAGCTGTTCTGCTGAGCTCAGTCTGTGAACATTGCCCTAAAACCATTCTGCAAGGCACACCAATGTGGGGATTCCCAAATTCACATAGGAAGTAGACTTGCAGAGAAAGCTGTGAGAGAGGTTGTACAACAGGGCATCTTAGCATTGGTTGATAATTGGTACCCTGAGATGTGTAGGATGTCTCTGAAGAACGAGTCGGGACTCCTCACTTTTCGGTCTTGAGGTTGTTTATTATTTCTTATCTATAAAATTTTCTTTCTGCCCAGCAGAAATCCGCTCTGCAGGGCAGCCATGAGCACTCTGACCGCCCCCGAGGTGGTGCTGTCCTTTTATACTACAAACTACGTATTTCCTATTTACACTTAATTCCCAATACCTGTCACCTATGTTGGACAGTGCACTTCTACTCTAAACCAATCCCAAGTGCCAACACCACTGCAGAAAATGGAGAACAAGAAGAAGGAAGGCTAGACATGCCCAGATTCCTCCATCTTGTCCCCATAACCCCCCTACCAAAAATCCTAAAATATACATTTTCACCATGTGATAATTTTATTATTATACTATTCAAACCTCTGTGACTTTCAGGTCCTCATACAGAGCTGGCAACTTGCTTCAGGGGTTAAAATCAAATCCCCAGGTGTTCTGGGCAGCATGCCATGATCTCAGAGCCCCGTGATGTGGTCCTTGGCATCTCAGAGCCCCGTGATGTGGTCCTTGGCAACTGTGGATATCCAGAGGGTTGTAGTGAGTTCTGACAAGCATTAATATGTAAGAAAGTTCTTTCACTTCCAGAAGTTAGCCCTAGATATAGTCAAGTTGTTTCAAAATTAACTACTCAGCCCAAAGCCCAGAATAAAGAGAGTGAGTGGTTGGTGACTCCCACCACAACTGGTGTTGCAAACTGTGAAAGAGAAACATCAGCAAATCCACTGGGGAATCGATGCTATGGTGATCGGTCCGTGGACTCTCATACTTGGTGTCTGCATGACAAAAATTGTCAGGTCTATTACAGAAAAATGCCTGATATGTCTTAAAAATAATACTTTGAATTCAAAAAGACTCCCCCCAGGAATTACTAAGAGAGGGAACACTCCTGGGGGTTACCAGCCAGTTAATTTTTCTGAGCTACCATGCCAAGGATGCAAGTATTTCCTGGTATCAGTAGATACTTTTTCTAGGTGTCCAGAAGCTTTCCCCTGCTGCACCAACAAGGTTAAGGAAGTCACCAAGGTACTCCTCAAAGAGTTCATGCCAAGGTTTGGATGTCACCTGATAGGGGACCCCATTTTATATCTGAAGTATTACATCAGCTTAGTAAGCAGTTGGGTATTAGTTGGGGTTTACATAGTCCATGGAGACTACAATCTCATGGAATGGTTGCACAAATGAATCAAACCTTGAAAGGGAGCATTAGCAAAATGTGTCAGGAAACTTTCTTGAAATGGTTTTTCCACTGGCCTAGTTGTAAATTCGAGTACAGGCCTGAACTACCCTGAAGGTGAGCCCTTATCAGTTTATGTTTGGGACACTATTGCAACCTTCCCTGGGTCCGAGGAGCATATTGAGAATCAGGAAATAGAATATTTAATTTCATTAGGGAAATCCTTGAATTAACATGGAAGATTTATCATTCTCTCAGAATGATAAATTTCTCTTAGCCTACACACTCCAGTGCATTGATTTCAGCCAGGGGTCACATATATATCATGACCTGGAAATGTGAGCCACTTCAGGAGCACTGGGGAAGAACTTTTCTGGTTTTGTTGACCAGAGGAATTGCTGAGAAAGTAAAAGGAATTAACTCCTGGATATAACGCACCCAAATTAAGAGGGCTCCCAACCCAGAGTAGACAGTGGAAAACACCAGACCTTGGTAGCTGAAAATTTCAAGAACAAAAGTAAATGAGCAGCAAAATGTATAGACTAATGTTTATGGGAATCATTTTATCTGGAATAATGGGAATAATTTTTATGGGAATAGTGTGAATGGGAATAATTTAATGGGAATAATTTTTATGGCAATAATGTGAATGGGAGCAATTTTTATGGGAATCATTTTATCTTTACGTGGCTGTGGTGTTGAAGAAAATTTAATATTGACTTTAATCCAGGGGTTTGGCAAATGTGTAATCTGTTCAGCATTACAGCCTGCCTCCCTATCCCCAATTCAGAAGGGGAATGTATTCCTTGGGGAATTATCCCCATAGATCTGTCAATGATTCAGTATGATAATCTGACTAATGTAATGGCAAAGAAACTTGGTAAGTAACTATCCAAAGTCACAGAAAAGGGATTCCAGGTTTTAAACAGATACTAAAATAATATTACAAACCAGAATGGCCTTGGATCTATTATTGGCCCAAGAACAAGGGGTTTGTAGATAGAGATCATTGTTGTGCGCACATCCCAAATGTAAAAGAAGATCTCCAAAGACAACAAAATAGAGCAAGTTGCTGACAGCAATGCTATCCAAACAGCCTATGAAACTAAACCACTCAATAAAATTCTCAGAGAAATAGGAGAATGGTCCTTGAAAGGATGGCTGGCTGAGATACAGGAAACCACTACAATAGTGATTGCAATGCTGATAATTATTACAATTATAATGGATCATGTTCACAAAAGGATTGTCTTTAATCTTGCAGGAATATATGTACTTGGATAAAACCTGAGTTGAGACTTAGCAAATAGCCTTAAGGAATTTGAGACGTTTCAAAGGGGGGAATTGATTTCAAAGGGTTAATTTAAGAACAAGGAGTTCTAGTGCATCTGTGCTCCCTCAGCAAAGCAACAGGGTGCACAGGATGTGCTCACTGAGCAAGGGCACGAGGGAGATAAAGGAACCTTGGAGGGGAGTGTGTCAGGCTTGGAATGCAGCCACAGCCAAAGACCATGAAAGGGGCTGAACCAGGGGAGGGTTTTATGGTAATGATCAATTATAACATGTAATGGCTTTCTGGGAGTTGTGATGGCTTGCAGAGGATGGGAGCGCACGCTGGATGGAGCTGTGCCCCGCGGGTACAGCTGACAATGTTCGCTCCCTGCTTGGTGCTGCCCTCCTGCTCAGGAGCTCTGTTCACCCGGCTTTCCTCGTTTTCGGTGGCAGAACTGCCAGAACACCGTCTTTAATAATACTTCTGACAACACTATCAGAGCTGAATGTGGTTTATAATCATTCTAAAATGCATGTAAAACTGAATAATTGATGCAGCATGGTTTGCAGGGAGGTTCTGCAGCATTGTCAGTGCTGTCTAGGACACTTCCCACATTCTGCTCTCTCGCTGGGAGTCAGAGCCAACAGTAGTGATTCAACTAGTGGAAACCTTTGAAAAAATGATCATGATTCTACTTCTGTCATCTTGATTTATTAACAAGAAGTAATGCAGAAACAATTGTGCAAATGCAGATGTTGCTACAATTAAGATGATGTAGCATGTTTTTTTCAAGAGTATGGTACAGTGACAGAGCACAGCAAGGGCTCTCTGGCTATCTTGAGTATATTTTCTATGTTTGCAGCATGTTTACTGAATCTTTAAAGGATAAATAATGCCTGCAAGAGTCACTTCCACAGAAATCCAGTGTAGTGGCATACCTATGACATGATGAATTTTTGATGTGGGTGTGCCCATGATAACAGGAGGATCAGATTCTGTTGTTCTAGAGATTAGAGTTGAGAATTGCATTTTACTTTGTATGCTCTGTCAAAATGGTAGAGCTATCTTTTTAAGTTGCTGAGATAACCAATACCTTGTCCAGTTAACTTGTTAGTTGGGTTTTTTTTATAATTTTCTTAAAAGCTGTGAGAGTTAATAGCAGGAAAAGTTAGGAACACCTAAAGGCTCTGCTTGCTTCTATGCTGTTCTAAAAACTCCTTCAGCTTATCTGTTGACAAATAATGTAACATTAATTAATATCATGTTTTTGGCATGTTCCAGTTGTTAATAGGGAAGATAGTAAAAGAGCCAAGTTGTCTTAAGATTCTTCTTAATGCTTTTTCTCATCTTTGTGTTGTTTCTGAAAATAACATGCACATTGGCATCCTCATGTTTCTAATACACATGAGCTGAGCCAGCTATCTTCTTTAAAGAGAGATTTGAACATCAAACACTTTAAAAGCATTGTTACTTATGACACTCTCACCTAAAAATAGCATATGATGTTTGTGACAAAATATAATCTGGTGAGAATGGACTTGAATGTTCTCCGTTTTTTCCTTATTTAATCATCATTGGTTAAATTTAATCCATATGTAAGCAACGCCTACATTTGGATTCCTTTTTAACCAAACAACAAATGCTCAAAAGCAGTATATTGCTGTCACCTGAGTAAGATGCTGACAAAGCTGCAAGTAAAGAAAGCTCATTTTTTAATTACTTCTCTCCAGGGTTTAGAAGTACAAAAGTAATGAAGAGGGAAAAGTGGCAGGAGCAGAAATAGCATTTGCTCTCTCTGTTAAGAATCGGTACCTTTTTCTGTATTAAAGTGATAAGGTTTAATTAATAGAAAAGCTGCTCTTTTATAGAGTCTGCATGTTATTTTAGCATGTTCTTCTGAGGGTGAATTTTAGAATGCTTTACTTCACCGCAAGAAGCCCTTAACATTGAACCATGGCTGTCCCTTAATATTTTTGGCTGTCATATATGAGTAATAGGATTGGGACCATACTATGGCAAAGAAAATTATGGATGTTAATGCTAAAAAAAAAACCTCACATGAGAATGATAACATTTTTCATGCCTTGTAGATTGCAGTTCTTATTATGCTGCTCCAAAAGGAATAAGAGGTGA